TGAGAGGTATGTACAAAGTACTATAATTTATAGAGAAAGAAACAATTAACATTAGTGTTATGTATGTTAGAGCTTTCATAGAGAATTTATATTTGAGTTCCCCTACTACAAAAATAAATTTATATTTGAATAGGGGAAATTTAAATACAGAAGGGAGAAAAGGATATCAGAGAAAAAGAATTTTTATAAACAGCAAAGAAAGACCAGACCATGGTTGAACAATGTTGTTGGAGATGAAGCTTTAAAGATAAGTTGGGTTGGGTCCACATTGTGAAATGTGTTATGTGCTAGGCTAAGGAGGTTACATTGAATTTTGTAGGGCAAAAGGAGGGTGTGATGGTTAATCTTGTTTGTCAACTTAATTGTGTGGGGTAAGAGGTGCTTAGGAGATCAGTAAAGCACACTTCTGGGTGTGTCTGTGACAGTATTTCTAGAGATGATTGGTATGTAAGACAACCCTAAATGTGATTGGTATATTTCAATGGATGGGGGCCAGATGGAACAAAAGGATAAGGAGAAAGCCCACTAGCATGGGCTCATATACTGCTCTCTGTCTCTCTTCCTCCCTCTCTCCCTCTCTCTCTCCCCCTCCCTCTCTCCCTCCCTCTCTCCCTCTCTCTCTCTCTCCCTCCCTCTCTCTCTCTCTCCTTCCCTCTCTCTCTCTCTCTCTCCCTCCCTCTCTGCTTTCTGGCTGTCATCAGAAACATGGAGTCAAGAATTTGGCTCAGAAACATGGAGCCAACTGACCATGAACTGAAATCTCTGAAACCAGGAGCCAAAATAAATCCCTCCACAATAATAGTGGAGCACTCCAATACTCCACTTTTACCAATAAATAAGTCATTGAGACAAAAAAAAATTAAAAACTTCAGAATTAAATGATACTATAGACAAAATGAACTTAAAGACTTCTACAGAATATTAAATCCAGTAGCTGCACAATATACATTCTTCTCAGGAGGCCACAGAATCGTCTCCAAAATAGATATTTTAGGACATAAAGCAAGAAAACTGAAACAAGCCCCTGTATTCTATTAAGACTACAATGGAATAAAACTAGAAATCAACTGCAAAAGAAACCACAGAAAATATTCAAACACATGGAGACAGAACAATACATTATAGTAGGTCATTGAAAAAATAAGGGGAGAATCAAAAAATTCCTAGAATCTAATAAAAATGAAAATAAAACTTACCAGGTCATCTGCAAAGGTTGTGGTAAGGAGGAAAGTTTATAGCTATGAATGCCTACATCAAAACAAAACAGAGAAATCTCAAATAAATAACCTAATTATGCACCTCAAGATCCTAGAAAATTAAGAACAAGCCAACCCCAAATTTAATAGGTAGAAATAATAAAGGTCAAGGCAGAATTTAATAAAATGGAGACTAAAAAATACAAAAAAAATCAATGAAACAGAAAGCTGGTTATTTTATAAGATAAGTAAGATTGATAAACCTTTAGCCAAACTAACCAAAAAAAGGGATAAAACCAAAACTAATAAAATTAGCAATGAAAAAAGGGATATCATAACAAATACCAATGAAATCCAGAGGAATATTGGGAAATACTTTGAAAACTTATATTCTAATAAAATGGAAAACCCAGAAGAAATGGGTAAATTTCTAGCGCGTATGACCTACCAAAATCAAATCAAGATGATATAAACCACTCAAACAGATGTATAAAGCAGTAAGATTGAAACAATGAAAGAATGTCCTAACAAAGAAGAGCCCAGGACCAGATGGATTCACAGCCGAAGTCTACCAAACCTTTAAAGAACTAACACCAATTCTCCTTAAATTATTCCATAAAATCAAAAGGGAATACTACAAAACTCATTCTATAAGCCAGCATTACCCTCAATACATGCAAAAATTCTCAATAAAATATTTAAAAGCTGAATTCAACAACACATTACCATTCCTGGGCATGCAGAAGGAAATCCTGGCAAAGAAAGGACCAACAGGGAAAGAGCTTCAAATCCTCAATTTTGTACCAGTTCTGGCTGGTCTCTAAAGCATTCACGCACAGAACAGACTTCAAGCATAGCAGCCTGGTTAAGGAAATGAACTAAATTTGAGCTACCACCAACTATAGGGAAGCCAGAGCTTGTCATTCAAATTTAATAACTTGGGAGTTATAGACAAGTTAACTGGTTGCTTAAAAATGTGTCCAGAGAAACATATCAGAATCTAGGCTTTCTGCAATATTTTATTCACAATGTGCAGAACACAATCTAAATTATTCAGTATATGAAGAGACTAAAATGCAACCCATTCTCAAAAGAAAATAAAAGAAAACCAAAGAAGACTGACACAGAGATGATACAGAATATTGGAATGAGCAGACAAGTATTTTAAGGCAGCTATTGTAAGGATGCTCAAGAATGTAAGGGAAAATGTGCTTATAATGAATAAAAAGATAGGAAATCTTGGAAAGGAAACAAATTACATAAACTAAAGGGAATTTCTAGAACTAAAATAAACAGTAATAAGAGGTCATTGTAGGGTTTAAATGAATGATCACAGAAGAGCTAGTGAGCTGAAATACGTATCAAGAGAAAAAACCCAATTAAAGAAAAAAAATTTTAAAAATCAACGAAGCCTTAAAAATATATGAGACAATGTTGGAATGTTTAAAATATGTATAAATGGAGTTCCAAAAGGAGAGGAATGAAGAAAAATGAGGGTGAAAAAATGTTTGACGAAATAAAGCACTCTGAGGAAAATGACATTACACATGGGGAAAACTATTGTTTTCTCATCAGCAACAAGAGGACAGGAAATAGTGGAACGATATCTTTAAAGTACCCAATGGGGAGGAGATGTCAACCCAGAATTATATACTCAGCAAAAAATTCAAGAAGGAAAAAAATATATTTTCAGATAAAACTATGATAATTTCAAGAAGTCCTGGACTGTAACAGATGTTACGTTTTCATTTTGAAAATAATTATACTGTAATACAACTTGGGTCTTCACAAAATAAGATTATAAGAAATTATGATCTGGCTAAAAATGATTTTTTTGGAATTCATTTAAAGTGTAGATGCTGTGCTCGCTTTGGCATCCCATACACTAAAATTGGATACAGAGATTAGTACAGATGATATGCAAATTCATAAAGAGTTCCATATTTTTAGGAAGTTAAGGTGAATATGGTTGATGTACCTCCTATACAAGAATGAATACAAAATTTTTAAACCTGTTGAAACCACCCTAAGAGTCTGAAGTAGAAAGGAGAAAAATAGAGGGATGAATCAATTCAGGTTATAATATATATATATATGGTAAATAAAAATACAAATAAAAAAATATATATGGTAAATAAAAATGTTTTGTTTCAAAACAGAGAACAGGAAGACAAAACAGTCCTGTCTGGGTGAGGGGTACCAGTGGGAAGCGGGGAGGATATAAGAAAAGGGTGCAGAAAGGCAAATATGGTGGAAAAATTATGTATTCATGTAGGTAAATGGAAAAATGAGACCTGTTAAAATTATTCCAGGAATGGGGCGAGGAGAAATAAGGAAGGGGCTAATTCAACTATGACATATTATAAGAAATTTTGCAAATGTCACAATGTACCACCAGCACAATAAAAATAAATGACAAAACAAAAAACAACAAAAAAGTAGATGCTATTCAAAGCAAATTATTACATTACCTTGTGAAGTTTATAATACACACTATATTAACACATATGGGTGGGAAGACAGCATAAACAGGTCTATATGGTTGTATGGTTTCTATATTTTATGCAAAGTGGTACAATATTAATAGGCTATGTACATTTTTATATCCTGGTTGGGGTATGGTTTGCACAGATGTATGTATTTGTAAACATTCATTGGTTTTTGTGTTTCCTTGAAACTTTACTTCAAAAAAACTTTTAAAAATTGACCTCTAATTAATAATATGCAAGTCTAAGTGTTTAGGAAGTGTACTGATGTTTGAAACTTATTTTGACATATAACAACTATTAAGATGGGTTGAATGACAGAGGAATGGATAAATATGTGGTAAAGTAAAATTTTAATTGTGGAATCTAGGGGTGGCTTTCTCTGCAAAATATTTCTGTCCTTCTATATGTTTGAAAGTTTCCATGAGAAAATATTGGAAAACGGATACTATCAATCCACATTTAAATGTGGTAAAGTGGAAAAAATGAAGAACAAAAAAGGAAAAGAGATTGGGAAAAGAGAAAGAACCGGATGTTAATGACAGATAAAGAAATAAACCCAAATAAGTAAAGATAGAAGGGCAGACAGAGGGAGAGGTCGATGTACCATTCACTGGAAAACAGGAATAAAGAATAATTATTTTCATGGAACTCAAAATTATGCATGTGTAAAATTACTTAAGATACTTGCCTCTGAATCCAGAAATTATTTTCTACTAGTTTAAAAGTCCCTCTGACATTAACAAATTATTTGATCAGCTTATCAAATAAATTTTTTGTCCTTGAAAAATGTGGAACACACCATTACTATTATAATATTAGCAACTTCTATTGATTTAGGGTTACATCTGGAAGTAAGCCAGGATTCTACACCTCTACTAAGAAGTTTCTGCCCCAAATCCCTTTGCCTATGCTAGCACCTATATTCACTACATACTGTATCATTTCAGATCTTTTGCTTTTTACTTAGAAGTAATTTTGACTTGCCATATAACAACATTGTTCTTAATCAGTTTAATGCTGTTCACTTTCATTATTAAATAAGTGTTATTAAGATATACTTAATACATTTGCTCTCTAGTAAGTAGTATTTTTCCTCTCACTACCTAGTCATGTAACATCTGTGAATGTGGAACTCATGCCCAGGCATAAGTTCTAGTACTTAGCAGAGTGTACACATGGAATACCCTGAATAAATATTTCTTGATTGAATGAATAAAGACTATATACTATCATTTACAGTAGGCTTTTCTCAAAGGATTCTGAACAGATATCATCAAGATTAAGTTAAGTTTGACAAATTCAAATCAAGCAAAGATTACCAGACTTCTAATAATATTTTATTCTGTTTATAGGTATAACTCTTAATTTGGGCACATTTTAAAATTCTAAATATTTAAAAGAATTATTGAAAATTGACTCAGAAGTTTTCAAAATGAAAAATCAAATGATAAATTTATATTATACAAATAAGTGGCAGTTTTGCATAGTCATATAGTAACAAATCAACACTCTTCAAAGTTCAAAGAAAGGGAAAGTGGTATTGGCTTCTGTCAGAAGTCAGATCCAACTTTACAAAGACAACAATATTCTAAGATCAGAAACAAATAAATTTCAGAACTCAGTTTGAGAGAAAAGGAAAAACTTTAGTTAAAATCTTTACAATAAAATAATTATGATTATAAATTTCTTTAGTTAAATATGTATACATTACACATGTATTTTAAAAAGAATGGAAATGGTTAAAGATTTTCAGGCAAATCTAATGCACAAATACACCATCTTATAGAATACAATGTGTGTCAGTTTAACATTCTTTAACAGCTGTGTTAAATAATGGCTCTGCTTTGTGCAAAACATGATAAAGCAAAATTAAGAAAAATTCTGCAAAATTATTAAGTTCCTAAAGGAAATTATTTTAAAAAGGAAACAGGGAAATAAAAAGAGGCTGTATACTCAAGCTTGATTGTATACAGAGGCTAGAATGACCAGCACTGATGTAACTCCCAGATCTGCTTAACAAGTCTGTGGGCAGCTTCAGTCGGATGTAAAAAGTTGAAGTCCTAGGAATTGTGCTTTTATGCAGCCACATGGCCAATAAGGTAGATGTTGTCATATAGGTGCCCTACAAAATCTTCACTAATGTTTTGAGCAGCACGACGGGTATTTCGAATAAATTCTCTTTTTGACATTTTATTCTTCACATGAGGGCTAGTGAGGTCAATGGAAAGTAGAATCAAAGAGTAGCACAGTACATAGACAGCATCTGGAAGGCAAAAGAAATACTTTGAATTATTAGCTGGTTAAAACAGTATTATACAAAGCAAACTGTTAATTTCAAGAGATGAAGATTAGCTCATAACTAAACATAGGGTGACCAACCAAATCCAGTTTGCCTACTCTTTTTCTAGTTTAGCACTGAAAGTTCTGTGTCCTGGAAAAGTCCTCAGTACTGGGCAAATGAGACAGTTATATACAGTCTGAATGCCAATTCAGTCTGCACTTTGTTCGATTTTCTTCATGTAAGTTCAGGGCTATACTTGATCTTAATATAATAAAATTAACAAATATCATGATTCCTGCTACTATTATCATGTTTGTATTTCAGAATCCTGCAGTCTTTTCTTTTTGGGATTTTTAAAAATAAATTTATTTTGGAATAGTTTAGGTTTACAGAAAGAATATGAAAATAGTACAGAAAATTCCACGCCTGGGTTCCCCTGCGATTAACATCTTACCTTAGAATGGCACATTTGTCAAAATTAGCCATTACTGATACATTATTATTTATTCACATTTCTTTAGTGCTTAACTAATGGCCTTATTTTGTTCTAGGATCCCATCCAGGACATACATTACATTTAGACATTATGTCCCCTTAGGCTCCTCTTGGCTCTGATGAGAATCCTGCAGTCTTAAGGAGGCTAAGGTAAGCATAATGTTTTGTAAAACATGTTTAGAAAATTTAATGATAGGTAAATGTTTTCTAATCTCTGCTTAATAACACAAGCACAATAAATTTTTTGACATGAAGAGATAGGTAAAGCTGTATCAGATGAAAAAATGTATTAGACTCAAGGCTGTATCATATATATATTCAGTATACACATACACAACAAAAACTAGTTGCATTAATAACAAATTTTAGTGGAAAAATGTTTATGAAATGTGTGAATTATTAAAAGCTTTAAAAGCAATTTCTCAAGTTTTCAATTAAGCTAGTAAAAGTATCCAATACTCAAAGAATAATTTTAAAGAATTTATGTAATTAACTTTCTTGTTAGAACAGCATATTTAGTATACATAAACAATAGCCGCTGGGCACTGGTGGTTTAGGCTTGTAATCCTAGCTACTCAGGAGGCAGAGATTAGGAGGATTATGGTTTTAAGCTAGTCTGGGCAAATAGTTCAGGAGCCTCTATCTTGAAAACACCCATCACAAAAAAAGGCTGGTGGAGTGGCTGAAAGTGTAGGCCCTGAGTTCAAACCCCAGTACCACAAGCAAACAAACAAACAAAAACAAAAGCTATGACAAACTAAAGATCCTTTTCAGTTCACATGAATGATATATTCCATATATATAGTCACTGCTATAACAGCGAAACAAATATTTGTAATTTGTGGAAGCATTTTTCCTCACAGTGAGAAAAATCTCATGTAAGATTGTTTTTACCTGGAGGTATTAGGGGAGTGGAAAGTAAGTAACATACTATATATTCTTACCAGGACTAAGGCCAAGTTCTCTCATTAAATCAGGATTACAGGCACAGAACCTATGTGAGAACTTTGTTATAAGAGTTTCAAGATACTCCCCACGCTCTTCAGGGGCATGGATGTGACGAAAAAACTCTCTCAGTGCATTTGGCAAGAATTGATTTCTAAAATTATGCAGTGTTACAAGGTCATCCAAGACATCCCTCCTATAAAAAGAGAAAAAGGTACAACTTTAGTTAACTTTTCCCTATTAAAAAATAAGAAAAAATAATAATTTGTAACTTTGGGGGAATAAAAATACTTGATTATTGATAATTAGATTAGTAACTGGATCAGGGTCCAAGGCCAGCCTGGATAAAGTGAACAGGAGACTGTCTGAAAAAAAAAGTTAAAAAAAAATGCAAAAGGAATTGAGTGTTGGCTCAAGTACCCAAGGCCCTGAGTTGCATAGTTTTACAAGGTTGGGTGAAAAATAGGACATTTCCATAGATGTACATCTGGAAGTAAGTGTATTAATTTCTTTGACACAGATGAATTAGTACTTGCCACAATGTTTCTGAAGTTTTATTCAGTGTATGTGAAAAATCAAATAATAATTAAGGCAAATATATCTATGCTTTAAAAATATTTTTTAAAATTACATGACACAATTTTGAAAGATTTTATGAATAGGTTACAATAAAACAAAGTACAATGAAGAATTGTACTTATAAAATAAAGAAAATTTTGCCATATTAAGGGCTACTTAACCGGGCATGGAGGCTCACACTGTAATCCCAGCCTTCAGGAGGCTGATCTGGAGTTCCAGGCCAGCTGGGGCTACATAGTGAGCACTGTTGGAAGAGAAGTGAAAGGAAGGGAAGGAAAGGAATAAAATGAAGAAACAGCACTAGAATACTTAATTATGTAAGTAATGAAAATCTTCACCTACTATATCAAGTCACATCTCCAGAGGCAAGATTTATGTTGACTGCTAAAAATGCCTATATACAGTGTATTTTTTCAGGATTTGCTTTTCCTTTTTTCACAAAGTGTACTGTGAAGTTTTATCTTTACAAATAGATATGCTTCATTCTCTTTAATGGTTTCACAATATCCCATCTTATAGATGCAATAATTCTATTGATATATTTAGTTTATTTACAAGTAGACAAATATTTGTATATGTATGTTATACATAAATTTAATCAATAACATTCTAATATAGTCACACCTATTGAATTCAAATATGATTATAATCTTTAATCTTTACCAATTGTAGTTTGCAGAGATAGGCAAACTACAGCTAATGGGCAAAATCTGGCCTGCTGACTGCATTTATAAATAGTTGTATTGGAACACATCCACACTAATTTGTTTACAGATTGTATATGTCTGTTTTCAAAACAGAATGGCAGAGAATGCCAGCTGCAACAGAGATCATAGTATCAGCAAAGCCTAAATATTTACAGAAAGTTCTAGTTCTCTATAGAAAAATTGCCAATGTCTAGGTACCTAGCATTTAAAGACAAACAGAGCTAATGACATATCTTTACAAAAAAGACTTCTTTCAAAGACCAGTATGCTGAAGTGTAAAATAGTCAAAAACCCCTCCTATCTAGATAAGCTTCTGGATATCATTAATGTTTTCAGATCATGTTGAAAAATCCAGAAAAATAAATATTGAGAATTAAAATGAAAGGCATGCATTTTGAACTATATATTAGTATTAGATCTATGATTTTAAAGATAGCAGTTTAGGCGTGCCACATCAAAATGTACCAATAAGTTTATGTCTGTTAATAACTAGAAAAAAGGAGCTACAATCAAATCACAACAGCATACTAGCCATTATTTTTGTAAAACACACTATTGAATGTCACATTTTTCATAATTTTCAAACATGGGCATGATACTTCTCAATAGTAGCACTATAGAAAAATACATATACCTTTATATTCTTATACTTTCAGAATATTTATAATAGATCTTTATATGGACAATTGTAGAATTTAGAATTTTTAGTTATTCAAACACTTAGATTATGGGTTAATTATTAAGAAAAAGTTAGGGCTGCAGTTCCCAAGCAAAAATATCACATATGTTGGGCTACCATTTTGTGTGCACATGGGCTTTCTTTTTCCTTCTTTCTTTCTTTTTTTTTTTTTTTTTGAGACATGGTTTCCCTAAGAGCTCAGGCAGACCTCCAACTAAAGATCTCCCTGCCTCAACCTCCCAAATGCTGGGATTACAGGGTAAACCATAACGCCAGACCTACTTTAGTTTCTTTTACTTTCATGATGACAACTTCTTCATCAGCAAGTTAAGGCTCACAAAAAATTATATCATACAGTAACAGCTTTCCTATCTTTACTCAATTTTGCAACCAGATGATTGCTAGACAGTATAATTTCAAAAACATTACTTAACTCATTTTTGATGAAAACAAACTTTTTTTTTTTACCTTTCATCAAGATAGATTCTCAGTTTTTTCCAATTTAGTGTTCTTGTGCAGAAGATAAACTTTGCTATTTCCTTTGGCGAATCATCTAGGATACCCTTGGACATAAAGTAGTTCACTCCCTAAGGCAGAAAGACAAGTCTACATAAATAATTAGTCTTTATTTATAAATCTGAACAATTAGGTAATAGCAGAACCATAGCTATAAATTCTTTCCAGCATTACTAGACTTTTAATTATAGCTTTATCATGCAAAATACAAGCTAGAACTTGAACTGAAACTATTATTTGTGGTTGATGGTTTACATGCAACAAAAAGTAGGAAATTCAAAGTTAATATTCCTAAATAAATCTTAATTTTCTGGCTCATGTCAGGTACACTGGCTATATAAAACTATGGTCTAATTTGGGAGAGGATGTGGAAGAAATCACATATACACTATAAAATAAGCCCTGTAACCAACACTTGCCCTGCTTACTAGAAAACATGACTTCTTTGAGCTCAGATACACATTGTAGTATACTTTTTAGAGGAAGCAACTTAAGAAAAAATAATATTCTTCAAATGAAAGACTAACAACTTTATTCTGGAAAGAAAAATAAATTATTTAACTTAAAGTAAAGGAGGATATGTTCGAGGCTGGTTCACGGATTTTACTACTTTGGCTTTACATATCACTACATCTCACAAGAATCTAGTTAAAGTACTCACTAAAACAAAGCATGATTAACACAAAAAATCCTCAGTGTTTTTCATAGGTTTTATCTTTGAATTTCCTTTTCTCTGCATGCAAAGTTTTCCAGAGAAGCATTACCCTTAAGTTTATATCTGCTTTAGATTTAAGTCAACAACAACAAAACATCAACAACAAAAAAATTAAATGCTGAAACCAGTACTTTCTCACATATATGGAGGTCACATTCAAACAAATGCCATAGGCAGATTTGAATGTGCAGTTATTGAAATAAAAGGCAGATGTGTTTATTTCAACTTGTAGTAATCCAGAAACATGCATTTCCATGAATGCTTATGTCTGGGCACTAGCACCACATGTGTAGTTGATTGGTAGAGAAAATGATGTAGTATATACATGCAACAAACTGCATTTACACATAAATTCCTTTAGCATTTCTTCACTTTACAAACACATAGTACTCAGAAAATGATGTAGGATATACATGCAACATATTGCATTTGCACATAAATTCCTTTAGCATTTCTTCACTTTACAACACATAGCAACAAAATATTACCACACACTTACACAACTCTAATCAAAAGTCTCGCGCACCTGAAGCACATCTCTCTGCTAAGATCTCACACGCTCCTCAACAAACTCTTCTCATAAAAATTCTCCTTACATTAAAAAAATTCAAAGCAACATCCGGTAACGTGAGAAACACAACCCACGGTAATGAATTTCCCTCAAAGTCCATATATAAATTACAATCGTAGCTAAGCCCCTCCGTACATATCGAAAGGATTACAAAGACAATGTTTTATACTGCACCCACCTAATTTCCCATTAGTCATCAGGGGGAATTAATATCTTCTAGCAATCCCGGTATTATCACACCTTTAAGGAATGAATTTCTTACAAGCAGCTACCCAGGGACCACTTTGCTACCGCGACATGAGCTTAAAAAAACCGATAGCATGACAACCGAAGAACACGAGCTGTACGTCACCTGGACCTAATCGCAACCCCTGTTCTGAATTCAAACTCATCCTGTATGCAAGTCATCCCCTTCATGATCATCCCCCTGGCGCGCCCCACAGGCCGCTAAAAGCCCATGGCCATATTGCTCCGCACAACACAAGGTCTAGATTTAAGAAATCGACAGCTCTTCCCACCAGAAATCATCTGAAGCAGGCCACGGCAGGCACACGTAGAAAAAGGAAGTTTTCCTCGCTGTGTCTATAGATTCCACTCTTACCACCTTCCCCTTGCAATAATAAATTGCCGAGTTGACTGCCCCATGTAATACATTAACACTGATATTAGCATGAAAAAGTAAAAA